GCTACCCACCAAGTCACCACTCGCTTTTCATTCCTCTGGCCAACAGCGCAATGCAGGAAGCAGAAAAGGGGGGGAGGGGGTCCATTCGAAGCATCAAGCACCACTCAGGGCCGTCCGTCTGAGGTCCGAGAGCCTCTGTGAGAGATACCCAGATGATGGAGAAAATGAGCCCTGATCAGCCTCACTTGTCGATCACCACACTGCACCCTGGGGCATGACCAGACCAGACCAGACCAGCCTGCCAGCCCTGGCCAACGCACATCCCCACCCTCCCCCCGAACCATTGTTCGACAATGGTATCCGTCGACAACCCATGCCCTCCACTGTCACGGTACCATCACTGCCGCGACCACTGCCATGGTCGCCGCGTCAGGGGTGCGTGAGACGTGTCTTCGACATTGTTGCCTCGACTAGGTAACGAGGCTGCATTGCCCTGCGCCGTCCTAGCTTTGCTTCGAGCAAAGCCATGCGCCTCCTCTCCGTCGTCACGCTGATACTAATCTTGCACGCCAAGGACCGCACTGCATCATGACAGGGCAGCCGACGACTGTCGAGAAGCCTCGTGTTCATCTCTCAATACCCTCGTCCTTTTAGTCTACCGGCATCCCTGGTGAAACTCGGCCTGCCTGCCCTCAAATCAATGCTGGGTCGCCTCGCAAGACCCATTGGTTCACAGAAGGCAGACGTAATGAAACGACATTGACGATGCACCCACCCCTTCATGCTTCTAGAAGCCTCCCAAGACGGGCCTGACGAACCTAGCGGACAGAGAGGGACGCTTTCATCTGCCGTCATCGTCTGTGCTTTCGCAGTTCTCACCCCATTCGGACGTTGCGAAGCCATCATGCTGCAGACCCGTCGGCACTTTCAGCAGCCAGCCGCGCCAAATGTCACACTTCTCTGATGTCGGAAGCGCCCGGCACCTCATTTCGCATTCAACTGGTCCCGTTCACCGACGAACGTCTGCTCATTTCCTGTTGTGCGAGTAATGGCCCACAGGTGATCATAACGCTCCCTCGTCATTATCACACTCGCCTGATACAGCCAACGCCCGGCTGTGGCTTACGGTCATGCCGTACCAAGATGATGCTCATATCAAGATGCTCTGGCATTCCAATCCATGGAAGCGACTTAGCATCTAGAAGCTTTCCCTATCCCCTTATTTATTTTTCATTTTACCTACCCATCCATCTCAAAGTCAGCCCGCACCTGAATCGGACCAGGCGTTCGAGCACAGGCTTCGTGCAGGATCCGAACGACATCACGTCAAGGGCACTACAAGGTAGAGTACGTCGGGTTGCGGAAGGAAAGTCGCATCCATCTCGCATGGGAAGCGCCGCACACTCTTTTTGTCAGTTGTCCTAATGCATAAAGGAGTCCAATTGCCGACTAGTCGTCGGGCGATTCCTGTCACCAGATGACACGTTAGTAGTCAGTCTCACATCGGTGTTTGAGGGCGCTTCTGCGAAGAGCCCAGCCGCTACGCAGGAGCGTCCAGTCCAAGAAAACAAAATCTCATCGGCTGGGCGCCTTCAAGTCTCACGCATTTGGATCTGCAGCCACAAAATATTGATGATACAATGACATGATTGTACAGAAATAATACAGAGATGTCTTGACGCGCCCTCTTCCCCTTGACGCCTGTTATGCGATTCCGATGTCGAACATGCTGGCCTCAACGTGGTGTCGATTCTTAACGCTTGACCCAGGCAGGCATCTTCCGTGCCTTGACGTGGCCGTGTTTCTTCCTCTCCACCACCCTCTTGTCTCTCGTAATACATCCAGCTGCGAGAATCATAGTTAGCAAGCGAATATTGAAAGAGACCGAACTTCCGCACCAAGGCTTACCTGCGCGAAGAGTCGGCTTCAGAGCTGGCTCATGAGCCATGAGAGCTTTGGAAATGGCCAGTGTTAAGGCTTCTGCCTGTCCGGTGGTGCCACCACCCTCAACGAGAGCCCACACATTATACTTGTCTATCCTTTCAGTACTCTTAAGCGCCCAAACAACGCTCTCGCGGTCGTGAATGCGACCGAAAGCCTGGCTAAGCGGTTTGCCATTGATTTGCACCTCGCCTGTCCCCTCAATCACCCAGGCTCGGGCCGTGGACTCTTTTCTCCGGCCAACACCAAGCGCCCTCCCGAATTTGTCAAGCTTGATCTCCTTGGCAACATTGAGGAAAGGGTTGATGTCGCGCTTGAAGCCCTCGAGGACCTTCTTGACCTCCCCTGGCATGATCTTCGGGTGGATCTGATGCAGACGCTTGACCATGTGGAGCACCTTGCTGTACGGGAGCGCCTTGACGGGCTCGCCCGTGTACAGCCTGTAGCCATCCAAAGTCTTCCATAGTTGCGGGGGAACTTCGTCTGGCGGCAATGTCGGCAGCTTCTGGTATCTTTCGAAGAGAGCCGTGAGCTCTACTAGAGCGTCGTTGAATCGAGGTTGACGAGTGAAGTAGGAAGGCGAGGCGGGAAAGGCGCGAACGTGGACCACGCCATCAAGAGGCTTCTCGGGGGGTGGAACAAGTCCCTTGCTTGAGGAGCTGGAGGCCTCCTGGCTAAGCTCGAGGGCCTTGATTTCGTTCTGCAGGTGGACGACAGCTTCATCGGTAGCTTCCGTTTCGATCTTTGGCGTCTCTCCGGCCGTGGTCAGCGGTCTCGCGTTGACCTTGGAGAAGGTCAATGGCTGCCATTGGGCCTTTGGAATCTGCGCCCGCGCAAGCTGAAGAAAGCAGCGCATGTGCTGAGACCCAGCACGCAAAGCTGACATGATGCTGTTGACGCCTGTCGTGGTTGTCGTGGTGTGATGGAGACCCGGGACCCCCCGTATCACGAACTGGAAATCTTTCTTGGGAAGGAGTGGCTTACCCTGGGACCCATGTCACGTGCTATGAGCTCCAGCCACAGATGAGGTGCGTTACGCCACGACTCGTTGCTGTAGAGCTCCCACTTTGGGCACGAGCGGGGCAGCAGGCGGGGCACTGTCCTCCTCTTCCGCCCCCGAGCGAAATTTCGCCTCGATGAAATTTGTTGACACCTAGAGAGGGGCTGTGAACTTTTTCTCTCCTACCTTCACCTTCTGTCTTTCCAAACCCTCTTCCTTCCATCATCTGCGCATACCACAAGCACAAGATGGCGTTCGGCAAGCTTTTCGCGTACCAGGTAAGCATTGCAGCAGCTTCATTTCATGGATGCTCGCAGTCGCTTTCGCTGTTTCCTGTGTGCCAAAGCTGATCACATTCTTCTTTTCAGGGCAACCCCCGCACCACTGCCATCCTCGTTGTGGCCAAGGCCAACGGCGTCGAGCTCGACCTCGTTGAGTCCGATGGCTCCAAGCCCACCGAGGAGCACCTCAAGGCCAACCCCCTCGGCAAGATTCCCGCCTTCCTTGGTGAGGATGGCTACGCCCTCTCTGAGGCCATTGCTGTCGCCATCTACAGTACGTATACCCTGAGTCACACTCAGACGAACCATCTCCAGTCTCTGCTTCGCTGCGTTCTTTCTTCACCCTCTTCTTCCCCCCTCCTGCGAAATGATGACCTAGACAATTCAATCAGTTATCCCTGGCCGAATCACCGTGTGTGGATATGCTCTAACTTCTGATCTCGTTCTCATTCACAAACTTTTTGCGCTCGCATCTGTTGGAGAATTGTTGGCTAACTCACCATCATAGTCACCTCCCAGAACGAGAAGACCACTCTCCTCGGCAAGACCAAGCAGGAGTATGTTCCCCATCTCAGTACATCCCGCCATTTGATACCTTGATGCTGACTTCGAATCGCAGCTACGCTTCCATCCTGAGGTGGATGTCCTTCGTCAACTCCGAGGTCCTCCCTCCTCTGGGTGGCTGGTTCCGCCCTCTTCTCGGAAGGGACCCCTACAACAAGAAGGCTGTTGAGGACTCCTCCAAGGTTGCTCTCAAGGCCGTTGGTGCCATTGAGAAGCACCTCCAGACACACGTACCTTGTTGCGAGCGCATCACCCTCGCCGATATCTTCGCTGCCAGCATCATCTCGCGCGATTTCGAGTTTTTTTTCGACCAGGAAGTGGCGCTCGCAGAACCCCCACCCCCTTCCGTTGGTTCGACCCCATTGTCAACCAGGACATCTACACCGGCGTCGCTGGCAAGCAGGAGTACCTCGAGAAGCCCAAGCTGACCAACGTCGCCCCCAAGAAGGCCGAGGCTCCCAAGCCCGCCGCCCCCAAGCCCGCCCCCGCTGCCGCCTGCGGGGGCGGAGGACGAGCCCGCCCCTAAGCCCAAGCACCCTCCGGAGGCCCTCCCCCGTGCCACCGTCCCCATCGACGAGTGGAAGCGCCAGTACTCCAACCTCGAGACCCCCGAGGCCCTGAAGTGGTTCTGGGAGAACATTCCCTTCTAGGAGTAGTCTCTGTGGAAGGTCGACTACAAGTACAACGATGAGCTCACCATGACTTTCATGTCTGCCAACCTCATCGGTGTTTCAACGCCGTCTTGAGGGTTCGCGCAAGTACCTTTTCGGCTGCGCCTCCGTCTACGGCGAGACCAACGCCTCGGTCATCCAGGGTGCCTTTGTCGTCCGCGGCCAGGAGTTCAAGCCCGTCTTCGACGTCGCTCCCGATTACGAGAGCTACGAGTTCACCAAGCTTGACCCCACCAAGCCCGAGGACAAGGAGTTCGTCGAGAACATGTGGTCCTGGGAGAAGGGTGTCACCGTTGACGGCAAGGAGTACCCCCACGCCGCCGGCAAGGTCCTGAAATAAGCGTCTCGCTTACAGGGCGGAAGGAGTAACGTGATGCGCGATGATGATGGTTTATGGCAGGGATTGTTATGAGGTCACGAACTGGGAACGGATCGGGGTGGATGATATTCATGGTCCCCAGGGATTCCGCGTGCGGTGTGGCCCGGAGGTTTTAAAAGAGCCGCAAGTGCCCGGTAAACAAGCTGCAGATGAATATGATGAGTGAATCAAGCTGGTTCGACACATGCTGTGATAATGATAAGACGATCTCTGGCTGTGATTATACCTTCCCGAACCATGATGCGCATGACTTCTAGCAATATGCGTGCACTCGACACCGCCATCCTGTGAAGAGGCTTCATCGCAATGTCAATGTCAGGGACTGTCGTTCCGCAATGTGGCTACGCGGATTGTACTTGATGACAAAACGACAAGGCCATGCGTGCCCTACGACCGTTTCCGCACCTTCATGACCCGATGCCTCTTGTTTCGTGGGTATCAATGCAACACAAAATAAGTGTCAGACGTCTCAAGCCAAACGCCAGACCAATGGTGCGCCCCATACTGGCGCGTCTGCCCAACGCACCCGCCAGCCGCCCCTCCCGCCCCTCGCCGCTACGCCGAAGGCGGACGCTCGAGCGTGTAGTCGTCCCGCAGGCCAAAGGGATGGAGACGCATGTACTGGCTGATGTCGGCCTGGTAGCAGAGAGCGTTGATGTAGTCGTGGACCTGGGGCAGCACGTCGGTGGCCTCGTTGGCGTCGCCGAAGAACTCGGGGATGCGCAGCAGGTTGAAGGGCTCGCTGCGGGCCTTCTCGAGCGAGTCGTCGACGAGGACCGTGTTGGTCTGGTCCCAGCGCAGGCCGTCCGGGTGGGAGGCCTGGACGGCGGCGTCGGCCCAGATGCGCTGCAGGCGCTTGTAGCACTGGACGCGCTTGACGTAGTCGGCGGGCGTCAGGTCGAACTTGTCGCGGCCCCAGGCGGCGACGAGGCGGCTGGAA